CCACGATGTTCTCGTTAATAAGTTTTTGTTCAGATTTTAATTAGCTAACCGGAAACACAGCTAAGCTTTCTCTAAGCGCTTGCTGGAGGTCGTCCACGAACTTAAGCCGTATTGTGAACGACTTTACTACAAAGCGAAGATTAGATTTTGGCGCGCACAGAAAGCAGAAAGCTACGTAGGCGAAAGCGCCAGTTGCTCGACATACCTGCGTGGCACGTGCGACGAAATAACTTCACGGGATTGGCAAAGTTTCAGTCACAGCAAATTATGCAAAAATTGAAATCTAGAAAGATTTAAGTTCAAATCTCGTTGAACGTTTAAAGCGACATATCAATGACTGCAACCATTGTGTTGTATACAAACCTCGCAAACTTTAAAACACGTTCTCTAGTGATACCTGCGAAAGTATTAAGTATAATTTCCGGTAAGATTTTGACGGACAATCTGATCGATTTCTCTTACATTGTGTGCTGAGACTGAAACTTTTCACCTCAAGCAAATCTGCGTCGCACGGCCCAAACAAACATAGAGAGCAACTAAGCTATTAGTATATGTCCGTGTTAAAACACACGAAAGGACTCTGAAGTACACTTCACTCTGAATGGGCAGAAAAACACAAAGATTTTCTGGCACCAATCAGATGGCAGAACGACTGCGACCGTTTGGAACTAGTCTTGTAAGACAATGTCCCCAGGGGCTCTTCATGCCCTAACTTGAAATCGACCTAAAGCCCCTGGGTCTCCGAGGATGAGTACCAAGACGCTCATGCAAGAACCAAGCGTATAGGCAAGAGGTCAAGAGAGTTAAATTTACTGTTTCTCATGCGCCAAATCAATCACATCTGGGTTTCACCGACGGCGATGAAACAATAAATATCCTTAAATACAGTAAAATCCACGCCGAAGACGTTGGCTCAGATCTTCCGAATGACAACAGTACAAAATTTATGGATGTCGGTGTAACAGAAAGACTTGGATCGTACCATTGATATATTTGGCCGTCGAAATGGCAGAGACTGCTATTTATTTTAACTTGTTTTATATGTACGCCTATGTTAGTGTATCATATGACGACTGTTTCGTAAAAATATGGGCAACTTGCGCGAACTTTTTGGGCAAATGGTTCACCACCCCCCTGGCAAAAAATTGCCCGTACGTCTATGGCGGAATCCCTTCGTCAGGTAATCAATTTTCCTATAGAATTCACGAATCAAGTAATGAATTTTCCTTGAATCGTACAATTGAATAAAAATGAGAAAAGAAAAGAAAAGAAAACAGCATCAGTTATTCGCCACTTTAGAAACGAGCAGAGGACTGGAACGAGTTTCAACGCGCAAAGGTGCTTGAGATCGTTACTTTTCTCATATTTTTCTCAAATTATGAAGGCGAATTGTTGTGTTCCTGGTTGTAATACCAGCCACAGAAACAAACCATCTGATGTTGAGTTTTACTGTCTTCCACAGTTGTTCTGTATACTTTTCAACTCGCAACTCCGCTAAGTACCTCGCTTTGTTAACCAATCAGGAACAATGTTTGCGAAACGCGCGACGTCGTCAAAGAAGGCCTTGAATGACCCTTGGAAAGTTCATCCTTGAAGCGTTTTTAACCCTACTGCGCAAACGTCATCGTCTCTTATTCTATAGTTTTTGGTCCGTAAATTTCAAAAACACTTCTGGGAAGATGTCATCGATAGCCAGCTTGATGCTTACCACTTTGGGTAAGTAAAGTAAAGGATAGTTCTTTTTCTACTCTCTGTTCGCCGCCAAGCTTGTATTGTAGTTTTGACAAGCAAGAATGTGCTCGAGACGCGTGGAGACCCTGCCTACGAATGCATTTTTCATCCAGGTTAAGCATGCCGGGGTATTTGTTTTTATTAAAATTATTGCTAGGACGTCGAAACTCTTGAATGCCACGAAATTTTACCGGTTTCGTAAATGTCGACTTGCGGACGAACGCCTTATAGCGTTAGGTTTGTTTTTAAATGGCTTTATACAAATGATTTGGATTTCGTTGTTATTGTGTAGTTCTTAGAAGGAAATTGTCGATATCGTTGTGAATATGCTTTAGAGACAATTCACGCATGTATTGTTGCGTTAGAGCGGTTATCGTTTTTCTTAGTTACGTCTGCAAAGACGAACCTCTGATCAACACTTCCATGACGGTAGCACTTTTCAATGCGGAAATTCGTGTGTGAAGCGAAATTGAAAATACTTGCCATGAGCTTTAATGTGAAATGGAAATACATAGAGAATGGCAAATTATCCGTAAAATCTCACCATATAAATAGTCAGGTTTTCCTTCTGGAATATAATGCGGTAAAGGTGCAGAAACGATTCCTTGGTAAGGTCCACTCGCAACGCAAAAATGCTCAATGTTTTCTTGATAGCCCCTATCAACTATTTGTTGCGTTGTATTGATCTCGTTTTAGTCACCAAATTATTTGTCCAACAAGTGCACTAGTGCGAGAAGAACTTGTATCTACTGTTTATAACTGAGAGGTAGATTACAGCGAATCCGATCACAGGTGTAATTCCACGTAAACGTGTTCAATGTTGTGAAGTGGGTTTGAATCTTAGATGACGAGTGTGTTGTGACGAAGGTTTGAATCGTAAATGAAGAGCGTGTTGCGAAGGTTTGAATCTTAAATGAGGAGTGTGTTGTGGAGAAGATCTGAATCTTAAATGAAAATTGTGTTGTGAAGAAGGTTTGAATCTTTAATGACGAGTGCCTAAATTCAACAGTGGAATTCAGGGTCTTGAGTTATCGATGATGACTCGCGTAATGATGTGGTTGTCTTCTCTGTATCATAAAAGATCCAAAAATGCCACGATTGATGAATTTTCTGTGCAGTATTTCACTGTATGGCCTGCTAAATTCAATAGTTTATTTGAATTTAAATCTTCCCCTCCCCCCCTTATTTGAACCCACAGATACAATAAATTATGTTACAACTTGGATTTATGGCCAGCATGCTTCTCACATGGGCTATAAATCCCATATCTTATAATACAGACCTCTAACTTGGTTAGTAAGAGGTATTGGTGTTTATAGGACTTGAAGGATAACCATGAGTTAGACTGAACTAAATTTCAGTTCTGATGTTAGAGATGATAAAAGAGTTATTAAAAGAATTTTTGCTATGTGCAGACGCCATGTAAACCAAACTCCTGGCACTAAGCCTTTTCTTATGATTTAACCATTGATATCATGTAAAATAAATATCAATCTGGTGAGTCACTTTTGTATCAGAAAACAGCTAAGTTTTGAAACTTTATGCCAATTATTTGAGAGTAAAGTGTAACTCCAGCAGGAGTTGTTAGACCTTCTATGGCACCTTGGTGCAATTTCATGACATTGTGTTTGAACTGGCCACAGATTTCTACTGAAATTTCTTTTTACTTTGTGAAGACTCAGCTACCTGTATTTATGGTAAGATGTATAAAAGGGGTCACCAGGATAAATTACATGGAAATCACAATTTACATGACTGGCTAGCCTCTGGCCATTATGGTAGCTGCCGATTGGTCAAGAAGTATGAGCTGCTTGGCCCAAGAAGTTACATGTTGTAATAGAAGAGCGGATAAGTACCTCAGAATCATCATTGGAAGTTAGATCAATTGTAAATATTGGTGACCTAATCATTGCTATTCTTCTAAAAGTTATTTAAAACTGACTGACTAAAATTTTGGTTGAAAATGTAACCAAGTCCTTTACTCTGATGAATTCTTTTTTATGTTGGATGAGGTGGTCTCATTGATGAAGCATTTGGGAAAGTGTGCATTTGTTGATAAAAAGTCAAATTTGGTAATGAGTTATTTAACATATTAAAAATAGTGGAATATTTACAGAAAGATAACATGCATACATACATACATACTAACTTTATTCTGGATGTAAACAAGCTTAATTACAGGGAAAAAAACATAGTGTTAAATAATTAAACATCTTGAAAAGGGAGTGAAGAGGTTATATAGCCCCATATTAAAACTCTCAAACAGAAATAGAAAATGCAAAATAAAAACATGAAAATACAATTCCATCATTCAAAAATCTAGATGTTAATTAACACATGGGTCTAATTTAAAATTTATTAATTAAGTAGATAATAATGAAGCTTATTTTTAAAATGATAAAAGCTTTCAGCCTGTACTATGTCTCTTGGAAGATCGTGCCATATTGGGACTATAAAAATCAATATAAAAAGAATACTTATAACAATTGGGTCTTGCGCTTTTAACATACAATTTTAAAGGGATGATTCACTCTTGTGGACCCAACTTTTGAGAATTCTAAGAAATCATTAAAATTCAAATGATAGTAACCAAAGACAAACTTAATTATCACTGAAAAACCCTCTTCAGGGAGTGTCAATAAAGTTTGTATTGTATTGTATTGTATTGTATAGCACTCAACTAAAGATAGGTAAATTCTACAATCAGATAACAATCGCCATTTCAACAATTTACAATGGTCAAGATAAGGCATTTCTCCTTTGCGTTGGTTAAGTGCTAATCTAGATGCCCTTCTTTGTATACTCTCCAAGGCGCAAATGTCCTTGAGGAGGTAAGGGCAGCAAACAGGTACAGCATATTCAAGAATTGGTGGAACCAAAGATAGATACAGCGTTGTAAAACATTTACATTGGTGGTGCCAACAGAACATTTCATAAAACCTAAAAATTTTAGCTTTGTTCACAGTTATGCTAATATGGTTAGCCCATGAGAGATCTTTTGATATTGTGACACCTAGCTCTTTCAAGCTCTTTGCGTCTTTCAAAGGTTTATCTAACATATATTGCTTAGTAGACTTGTTGCGTGTATGGGTTATACGCATGGATTCACACTTGTCGGCATTGAACCGCAACTGCCACTTACATGCTCCTTTCCATCAGGTTAGAAAGATCCATTTGTAAAAGCTGAGGATCCTTAATAGGGTCGATTATTTGATGATAGATCTTTGTGTTGTCAGTGTAAAGTTTCACAGTTGACGAAACACAGTTGGTTATATCATTGATATAGATCAGAAATAACAATGGACTGAGAATGGTCCCTTGTGGGGTACCAAAGGTAACACTAGACCAATCAGACCTAGATCCTCTTAGAATCATGCGCTGCCTGCATCTTGTCAGGAAGTGCCTGAGCCAGGCATGTAAGCAGCTGTCAACACCAGCAGGAGCCACTCGTGAGGAACACTGTCAAATGCCTTGACCATGTCAAGGAAAACCACATCAGTTGGGCGAGACAAATCACGTGATTTAGCCCAGTCATTCAACTATGATAACAACTGTGTTAACCATGGATCTTCCTTTTAGAAAGCTGAATTGGTTGTCATTTATCAGACCAGTTTCTTGCCAAAACTTATGCAATTTATCAAAAACAATTTTTTCACCAATTTTGTAAACGATAGATGTAAAGGAGACTGGGTGGTAATTTTCTCTGAGTGATTTAGAGCCCTTCTAGTAAGAATAGTTCATGGGAGGTCAGCCCTAATGGTATTTACACACAATTTGGTAGGATGGGACATAGAGCAAGTGAGATTTCTGATACAAAGCAATGATACAGGCAGAGGTTAAATTCTTGTTTAATGAAAAAGTTATTGTGAAACAGATTCAAGTCAAAGGTTAACAAATCAGTCATAAAAGATGTAAACCATACATAAATTGCATTTCCAATAGAACTAATGCGACGCACTGACAGCAAACAAGAACAAATATCAGATTACCTCTAAATACTTAAAACAAGCCATCCTTAGCTTGACGGTTCAATTGTAATGTTCAACAGACTCAGTGAATACAAATGCATGTTTAATTCCTTGGAGGGGGGGGGCTGTGGTATGTATTTCTTATTCTTTACATTGTCTTTTTTGTCTCAACCTTCTTTGAACAGTCAAAGATCTTGCTTTGATTTCTCCTTTGTAGTTTTGTTCTCTGTGCTTTCCACATAATGACATGTGCCCTGGTAAAAAATGTTGTATATTTGCCTGTATACCCTTAGCAAACTGAAACATCTTCATTCCTGTGAAATAGGGCCACTCAGAGCAGATTCCCAGATTTTTAATTTGTTAAAGGCCTTTAGTTTAGAGGAAATAAAAATAGAAACTTTGATTGCCAAAAACAAAGATAAAGAATTATTTTTCTAACAGTATCAATTTTTTTATCTTCATTCCTGTGAAATAGGGCCACTCAGAGCAGATTCCCAGATTTTTAATTTGTTAAAGGCCTTTAGTTTAGAGGGAAAAAAAATAGAAACTTTGATTGCCAAAAACAAAGATAAAGAATTATTTTTCTAACAGTATCAATTTTTTTATTGAAATTGCAGCTTACTAACTGATTACTCTGTTTCAAGCCTTTATTTTTGGTTTCAGGATTAAAATAAAAGAACTTCTGAAATTCTCCACTAGAATTCCCTAAACTACTTCCTGAGAGGACAAGTTGGCATGTTTTTGCATCAAGAAAATTGTAGTGGTAAACTAACTGAATGTTCATTTATATCTTTACTGAAAATTGTATTCATTACATGAGAACAAAACCACTTGTCAAGTGAATATGTACTCAAGATTTGTGACAACTCTCTACATTTTTGCCAAGTTAAAGTGTTTTAAGCGCTTTTTGGAAACTTTAAGGAGGACTCAACGAAAGCTTTGATTTAAGCTGAGGCAATAGAAATAAATTTGGTTAGAGGAAAATAGTGTACTGTGAGTAACTCTTGTGGCAACTGTTTATATTTTTGCCAAGTTAAAGTGTTTTAAGCACTTTCTGTAAACTTTAAGGAGGCTCAGTGAAAGCTTTGTTTTAAACTGAGGTAATAGAAACAAATTTGGTTAAAGGAAAATAGTGTACTGTGAGTAAACAAAACAGCTGGATGTCTTCATCATGGATTATGTAACCCTTTCTTTGGGGTGTTACATTCATTGTATGCTGTTATAATTGCTTCTTTAGGGGTAGGCTACATATATTTTAGTTGTTGTCATTTATATTCATTCACATCTTACAATGATCCTCACGCCCTCAAAAGTAAATACCCAATGAGTAGGGGTTACGGAATCCTTGTTTTACAAACATAGTATAGATTACGAACAAAGTATAGATTGTTTTGTTGATTGGTTTTTCTTACTGTATTTTTTACATTTCCAAAGATTTCATTCTGTTGTATCATTCCTATCCATTTTGATGAAAAAGGCACAATAGAAAGGGTTGCACAGGGCTCGTGTTGACACACCCCAATTGTGGCTGCTTATTGCATGAGAAATGTTTTACATTCGTTTGAGCATGGTAACAATTTAGAATATAAATGGTGTTTGTATCAGTGTATAGAATATAAAAGGTGTTTGTTGTGGTGTTGTCTAAAAATGTTATTAAAGAATTTAAGCTAAGTTGTCACAATCAAAATAAATTTCACCAGCTAAGTTTTAAGAATTGAAATAAATTTCACTTTCTTCATGGTTTACAAAATTTTATCATGTTCTCCAAACATCCCACGGGGTTTAGCGGTAGCAGCTGGTAAACTGATAGATATAGTTCACTTACGTATCAAAACATAATACAAGGCTCCTGATTGGTTCTCTACCTTTTAAACCAGCTTTCTAATGAAAATTTATTTCACACCTTTTTAGTGCGTGAATCTCAGTATGCATATAGTGTAAACAGCTATTAACCTCTCAGATAGATGAGGATGAAAACATCACAGCTAAGTTGACAAAATGCTTTCAAGTAAATGATGTGACTCTGTTCACCAGTGCAGCACCATACACTGAATGCCTTAAAGCCACATGTATTATGCACAGCCTTTTCTGCTCAGAACAGAAATCAGCCTTTTTTTACTTTAATAAGAAAATTTTACTCTACAAGTTGTCCCCTAATAATTTTCTGTAGCAGTGCCACTGGAAAATGTGCTGTGTTTTTACTTGACAAGGCCTTGCACTTTCTTATACAAACTTTTATATTTTATATATTTACAAGATATTCCTTGCAGCCAAAGACCAATACTTCACGTAACTAAGCAACTTAATTTAGGAAAATGTTTACAATTTTATACCACAAACACATGACAAAGACACTTTAAAACAATAATTGGAAAGGATTTAGGGAAAATTCTATTTAACAAGTAAGTCTCCTTCCTTGACAAGAATCCCGGGAAAGTTTCATTGCTCAAACATCATAGCGCATAACTTCTTTTGTGACAAGCTTCATGTCTATTCATTCAATTTATCCACAATAAAAGTTTGTATAGCATTCTTTGAGTAAGCATTTATTTGCCTTCATCACAGCTTTTATGTAATTTTCACGTCTCTTTGGCAGTTTAAGAGTTTAGACTGAGAGGTAAGAAAATTTAATTAGTGAATATCCTTTTTTTAAGAAATTTACTTCTCTGTCAAAAGAGTGAGATACAAACAATAAAAAATGTACATGTATGATAGTTTGCTTTACCTCTCCAGTCCAATAGAGCAATTTATGACTAATAGTCTAAATCTATGTAGGATCACTTTGGTTTCGCTTAACAATGTTTGGTGATTGGTGCAGATAATTTGCCCTAACTTTTAACCAGTCAGGTGCATCCCAAGCAGTTTGCTTGTTTTCTTTTGAATTCACATCTTTTCAAAGGCAAGCTACACCTTTTGAACTTCTCTGCTATCTTTGCTCAACTTGAGGAATTAATTTAATTCTGGCACTCAAGCAGGCTGCAAACATCCTGGTGGTGCCAGACCTATCAACCCCTCAATTTTAAATCTCTTGTGAAATTGTAGCCAATCTGTCTGGATATCTCCATTATCACATTTTTTTTTTCTAATTTTGTCATTTTGAAAACATTTCGCACAATCTGTACATGATGAAAAGATGCATTTCAGTATCCTCGATCCATAAGTAACTGTCATGGAATATGCAGTTGGTTTCACAATTGATAACCTGTTTTTCAGACATTTATTGTCATGTACTTTCTAAGCAATGATAGTCTGATAAAATTATGTTAAGCACATATTTTCTGTACAGCTTTCTGTAAACGATGGAAGTTTGAAAGAGTATTTTGGATGGGAAAGGGTAATTGTGGATAAAATGACGATAAAGTTCCAAGATCTAGAGCACTGCATACATTTTCATGGTCATGGTTTTATCTTGATACTCAATTTAATCTTGTAATGAAAATTCATGGAATACATGTTCATGTTGGTAATCTAATTTCTAGCTTTTGAATTATTATCAGTCCATGTTTTATGTACAGATGTCTCAGAAAAAAAAGATTTGATTACGTGCATGTTTAACTCTGAGAAGAAATCAACTTTTAACTTAATTCTCAAAATCTTCAATACATTCCAATAAACTCGTGGCAAGAATGGACAACTGTACCGATTGGGGGGTTTTGATATTCAATTCAAACTTGAAATACAAATACCTGTGTTTATCAAACTGAATTAAGACAAGAAAGAAGTAAAACTACCATGGCAAGCTGCTTCTCATTTTCTCGCTTATTTTCTCACTCATTTTCTGTGATAACGTGGGAGTCGTAAGCCACTGAAAATGTGTCTTTTTTAACTAGTTGCGCGTGCTTCTCATCAATTACGTCATCATATGATTCCAATACTGGTGTTATATACCCACAAGAAATCGGTATATGATTGGATCGATAGATTTGTTTGGCACTCACATAAAGCATCATATGACTCTATGGTAATGCTTTATGTGCACATAGAATTATTCCTGTGGCGATCTTTGTGATTCAGGGTATTTTTGGTTTGTGTTGAAGGAGGCTCGGCCACAATTCTAGGCCCATTTATCCTGTAGACTGTAAACGGGTGTTACTTTATTGATGCAATGGCCTCGAATTTGTCCACTTGGAGCAAACAATAAGTTCTAGCTATCACTTATCAGTAATGGTAATAGGAGTGGAGTCCAATTCGGTCTGTAATAGTAGAAGTGATCGACAAAATTGGAGTCCGATTTTTTAATTACGAATTAGTAGTCAAAACTATGACAAAATTTGCGAAAAAAAAACTTAGCCATTGGTTATACGTTTTCATTAAAAAAAAACAACAACAACTGTCGACTCGGCGAAGTGAACGACATCAGCGCGCACATGACGCGTACTGTCCAGTTACAAGCATGACGCATACACTGTCCATTTAGTGCTGTAATCGGGCTGGTGATTTACCAATCACCTTCGAGAATTTTGGTCTAGTTCTGATTATGCATGATGCCGACCACAACGGATGGACGAATATAAATTATGAGAGCGATGCGTTTTTCGTTTCGTTTGGTCAAAGTTTGTAAGTGTTCACAAAATGTGTCACTCAGGTCTAGCGGGGCGTCTTTGCAACTTGCGATTCCAAGAACTTATCAAGGAGCGAGACTATTGCATTCAGGGTCTTCACGCTTGTTGTCCAAAATACGAACACGTAAGAAGCAAAAGAATCAAGTCAGTTTGCAAACGTGTGCACCGGACTTGTTGATGTTCACGATGCTACCCGTTTGGTTGCATTTCACTTTTGCTCGAAAGCTTTAATCGGCGTAGTGAAGGTGCGCCAATGTTTTCATGCGTTCTATTAGGTTCTTCATAAGAACTACCGTTATTGAAAAATTTCATGACTGGACAATTTGTAACTAATATTTCAAATATTTTCAGTTTTTCTTGCTGCCGAGTATCAAGTTGTCGAAGGTAAGTTCTAGTCTGATTTGATATCTTAGCGCGATGGCTGAGTTTAGATATGAGTGTACAATTTAAGATATCCTCAGTTAAAGCTAAACTTTGACACTATCTGTAAGACTGTTTCAAGTAAGATACAGTCAGCGCTGACCTGCAGTGCCAAGCTGGAGGTGAACTAGTGCGATATAACTAAAGTGATATTAATTTCCTTCTCTTTTTTTTAGCGTCAGCTTGTCCCTATTGGGTGGAAACGATATATCCCAAAGACAGTAGAAATGACACCATATTCAGTCCTGGATACCCTGGGTATTATGACTCGGAGAATTGTAAATGGAAAATCGTGGCATCCTACGGCCATAAAGTTCTCATCTACTTCACAGAACTCGAGTTGGAAGATTGTAGTAGCTGTAGTTGTGACAGTGTGGAAATTTATGATGGAACTGATCAGTACAGCACTCGTTTGTCAAAAAGCTGTGGAAGCAGTCTTCCTGTGCCAGCGTATTCTACAGGTCGTAATATCTTCTTGAAATTCACTTCAGATATAAGTGTGACAAGGAGAGGGTTTGTGGCACACTACAGAGTGCTGAATTCCTCATCAGGTGGGTCTTAAATAGTTTAATTCGCTCACACAAAATCTCTACACAGAGGGAATCCTCTTGATTCTTGTACATTCATAGATGAGATCTGATGCAATTAAAATAAGATAACCAATATAATAAATTGGACGGACTATGTTGAGGACTCAAAGTAAGGGATTTGCAAAGAAATCAACAGAGAGATCGTTACCTTACAACGAAATAAACAGAATTGTTGGAGAGGAAAGGTAACGCCTTTCCTATGAAAAAACAAGTACAAAAGGCGTCCAGCGGAGTCCCAGTAGACTCTTCGCAAAGATACATCCCGTGCAAAACTGTTTAGCAGTTGCGCGTAACATTTTGTCATTTAATTTCGGCAATTTCGAGTTTACGTGGCTTGAACTGCCCCGGCAGAACTTGCTGATGGGTTGTGATTGAGCGAAGTTTGCTCTAACCACGAGCCCTTATCTGTTTTAGCGACATTTTTCGCCTTTCCATTCACAGTCTAGTTCTCTAAGCAAAGGTCTTCGCGTGCAACTGGGATCAAGAGATGTTAAGTGGGTTTTACGTTGGAAAACATCTCGGGTGTCATTTATGTTGACAAGTTATAATTGTAAAGGTGTAGTCTGATCGTCCGGGTCAGTGTAGTTCTGAGAAGGACTGTTGTCGGTGGTAGTGACTGACGTTTCGACAACCTGTGCGGAAGTCATCACATGTTACCCCCGGGTTCAAACCATTTACTGCAAGTTATAATTGGTTGTTCACGCATTTCAGGTTGTCCAGCAATCACTCCTGGCGCCTCAGCTGGCGTAATTTACAGTCCTAATTTCCCTTGGAGTTTTGCGGCCCACAGTTCATGTGACTGGCGTATTGAAGCACCTTCGGGGAAAAGGGTTAATTTGAAGTTCATAAGATTCCACTTGGGGTATTACTCTAATTGTGCATACGGCCACGTGGAGGTGCGAGATGGTTACTACAACTTTCTGCTTGGGAAGTACTGTGGGTCTCAAATTCCAGCCTCCGTCTCCTCCTCATCCAACTCTCTAACTGTTAAGTTCCGTTCTTCCTACGTCACCTATTCGGGATTCCTGGCACTGTACCAAACGGGACACAGCTTTCCAACAAATGCTTCAGCCATGACTACATACAGACCTGTCTACCCGACAACGCGGTCTGCATATTACAGTTGTAGTAGTTACAGCTCTGAAACAGGTAAGTTCAAGTTCACCAATTTTCTATAGCCTACTGAGAGCATACTTGTAAAAGGAGTTGTCTTTTAATATCAGATCAACAACTCCCGCCCTAAAGTGATTTAATAGTGAACTCAGATTTTTCAAAGTTTAGTGCTTTACAGAGGTGAATCGTTTTCCTCGGAACATCTGATTAAAAAATAGACCGAAAAGTACGACTTACATTTTAAAATGAAAAGGTAAGTTCACGACACAGAGAGTTTCTGGGTAACCAGCAGTGCTGTCAATAAGGGCCGGTAGCCGGCCAAAACAGCCGGCTACTTTCGTCTCACTTACTGTTAATTTTGGTGAGAAACTTAAAATAAGGAAAAAATCCAACAAAAATAATTGTGAGACATCCGCCTCAAACGTCTGAGTCGAAATAAAGGCGCATTTCTGGAGATTTAAACGTGGTTACCTTTACCACGCGCGATGGATCGAAGGGTCGTGGAACGCCTGCGACATTTTCACAGAACAGGATCCAGCAAGAAACCGGCTTAAAAATGAAAAGATCCTGCAAAAATAATTGTCAAACATCCGGCTCAAACGTCTGATTCTAAGTAAAGGCACATTTCAGGAGTTTTAAACTTGTCAACCTTTCGGTTGAAGTAGAAAAAGCTGAAGCAGATCGAGGTGATCGAAGGGTCGTGGAACACCTGGGACATTTTCATAGGACTAGATCCAAGGCTTTCGCATGTGCCAAAATGGCGTCCGCGCCAAAGAAACCGAGGCAGACATTTCTGAGCACGTTTTTTCACTCTCCGTCAAATGAGCAAAGCAAAGGTAAGGACCTTTATTCATTTTCGCATGTATTGCATGCATAATGTAAAACCTTTGTATTTCTGTGATTTCAACGCTTCAAATCATGATCTGTGCATTAAGCACTCGTTCAGCTTTCTTTGAACTGGGTTCTTACTCAGTAGAGCAATCACCAGTAATGTAGTTGTGGTAACACTTAATTAAACCCCTGTAACTTTGTTGGCTCCTTTTTACTGGAAATATTGAAACAATATCAAGTGCCAAGCTGCTTAGTTCTGTGAGAGACAACTTTTGGACTTGCAGTATTTCCTTACTGACAGAAAGCGAGGGTTCTCTCAGGGGGCTGAACACAGTTTTTGATACCTGTGTTTCTTTCGCCATTTTCTCTAAAACCCTTGATCTCTCGGTCGCCAAAACTGGCAGCAAGTAAGTTAACAACACAAACTTTGTAATTTTGATAGTTAAGGTGACGTATGTGCTGTTGCCATGACGACATGAATAAATATAAAGAGGCCTTGAAAATCGGTTTTGTTTATTTGTACAAAATCTAGTCATTAGATTTTCTTTATGATTTGCATGCTACGAACTTGTAACGATACTCACAAGTTAACACCATTTTGCTAACAATTTAACAGAGAGATTTTTAATTATCCCTCGTTGAAGATTCACTCGATTATCTAGAATTTCCTTTGTTGAAAATCAACTTTTTTCAATAATCCAGTTACTTATTTCCTAACGTACTTTCGTGCCAAATTTCGTGAAATTCTAAAGAGTGGTTCTCAAGAAACAGGCATATTTCCGAGAAAGCAATTTTCCATTCAATCGCAATTTTTTTACTTACTACGCATGCGCTGCATTTAACTGGGTTCTTTCGGTAACAACGAAAAAGCTGAGAATTACCGGGTTAAGTTCGCACCGTTAACTTTTCTAACATATCTTTTTAATAAGAGATTAAAGTCCTCATTACACTGCACCAGCTATAGAGAAACATAGGACAGATAGTGCGGGTACGAGTTGAGTGAATAAAATATCCGCTCCATTGACGGCATGTTTGTTTCTCGCAATCCTTGTGCGCGCGCTGAATTGCATCAGCAAAAGCGCGCGCGAAAACTGTGTTCGGCCACCGTAAGCTTACAAGTATACCTGTTGATACGTTGGCGTACAAAGGCATAGTAATGTTTTTTGTGTGAGAGAGTTTCAGTCACAGGACTGTTGGTTAAAAACACGAAATCGTAACTATCTTTAATAAATCCTTTATGTTGAAATTTTTTCAAAACACCACAGGGAATGAAGGAGGATGTAATGAAAGTACACTTCAAAGTGGTGAAGCTCATGTTGCAGTTAGTATGAATAATTTCTTGAGTACTATTTTGCTCCAGCGCATAAGGTGGTACAAAATATAACTAGAATAACCATGGCCTATATTTTTCTTCAGCAGCCCATGTGGACACCGAAAACAAGCCAACACATCATTCAACCAAACCTGTCCCTACTTCTCGTACAATTGAGTTAATAAGCCAGTCTTTTAAAGAGTCACCAAAACTTCACTATTTTATGAATGCAAAGAAGGTTGTAAGAAATTAATATGTGATTGTCGTTTTAAACATGAGTGGATTCTTGATCGAGAAGTTGGATATTGTGAGAAGAACGGTTTGTGGTGGCTGGTATATGAAGAGGGGAATAGTATGTTTTGCCTTTTGTGCAGAATGCACGATTGTGAAAATCCATTTAACCATCAAAAGAAGTTTAACCAGGTCCCTGCTGTAAGATTTAAAAAGAGTGCACTGGATGGAAAAGATGGACTCAGTGGCTCACAACAACATGAGATGGCCATCCAGAGGGAGCACAATAAACAAGTGTCGTACTTTCACAAAGAGTTCGAAACCCAGCTACAGACAAAAAATTCAGTGTTCCACCATGCTTTCCTGTCAGCATATTGGTTGACCAGAGAAGAAATTGCTTATCGCAAGTTCACATCTTTGTTGGAAATAGAAGAGATTCTTGGCGTTCCCGAAATACGTTGTTTTGATCACAGATCTCAGGGTTCACAGCGAGAATTGTTTTTGCTGCTGGGCCAAAGCTTTGAAGGATGAAATAGTAAAGAAGGAAAAGAACGCAGACAGCTACGGCCTGATGGTGGATGAAGCCACCGATGTCTCCGTGGTAGAGCAGCTGATATCTTTTATGCAGTTTGCTAACCTAAAGACAGGTGTACCAGAGGTCCATTTCCTGTCCATTCAGGATGTCCTAGAAAACTCAACATCAGCGAATGCAGCGACCATTGTGAAACTAATCAAAGAAGAATTGTCAAAAGATGGTTTGGATATCAACAAGCTTAGCAGTCTAGCCAGTGATGGGGCAAGTGTCATGACAGGCTCTCGCGATGGGGTGGCAGCCAAGCTGAGGGAAACAGTCCCAACTCTCATTAACATCCACTGTATCTGCCATCGCCTCGCCCTTGCTTGCAATGATGCAAATGACAGCCTGACCCCAATATCGCAAGAAGAAACTGTCCTTCGACAGCTGTGGAGTTTCTTTGAAAACTCCGCAGCAAGGTCAGCAGTTTATGTGCAAATTTCCTCTGAGATGAAGGAACTTGAAAGCATGTCTGAAAAGAGCAAAGAAAAACTCGCAACAAAGGTACAGAAAGCCTGCAGAACAAGATGGCGATCTCTGGATAAGTCTGTAGAGAGTGTATGTCGAAACTTGCCAGCCCTTCTTCGGACCCTAAGTTTGGTTCATCCGTGGTTCATCTCCCCTCGGCTAACCCAAATCTTTTTTGAAATATCTTAAAAAATTCACGTTTCATTTTCTGATGTTTCCGTTTAATGTACATGAACAACTAGCACAGGAGTACACTTGTGTGAAGTTTTGTATAATTCCGTCAAAGAACAAAGAAGATACAGCAGTTTGAAGGTCGTTTGCGAGTGGCAAAACTACAGTCTTGGGGAATAGAGGAGACAAAAAAACAAACCAAGCCCAAATTTGACATGTGGAGGGTTTAAAGCATTCCCTCTCAAGCAGTAGAAGACCTTCCACTAACCCTTCCATTTAAAAGATCGTAAAATATTTTCCCGAAAAAGTCTAGTAAAGGTATACGTATACCAAATGAAAGTTGATTTAAGCCTCCTGATAACTCAACCTTGAAATTTCGACCAAGATGAAAACATGACAAAATCTTTAAACGTAAGGGTTTAGGTCTGAAATTTACACACAATGTTTGTCAGCTCGTTTTGATTATGTGTCAGCAATTTTCACACGATTTGGTTGAATATGTTTGGTTTTGGAACTATTTTTGTGCACCCCCCCCCCCTTCTTTTTTACCTCCGAGGGGAGATGAACCTCAAGGTTTCTTAACATTTCTTAAGTGCCATTTTATCAAACAGCAACAAGTTCTTTATTGTTAGAAAGGTCTTGGTTAGAGGAACATTTTTGGTGTATTTAGAATGTCCTAACCCTTCAATGCGCAGGCGCTAGAGAACCGAAACAGTTCGAAAACAAGGGGAAATGAACTATTTTTTTCCAAAATGGTCCTCCTACTAAAACGTTTGCATCTCACCACAAACTTAATGCTAGGGTTTGGTTTACACAGCATTAGAAAGGTAAAGAGATGGTGTTTATTTTGCTATAATCATAAGTTGCTTTTTTATAAATGCTGTCACGTATCGTCCCAAAATCAGCCAAAAATTTGTTTTTAATTTTTTTATTTGACCTTTGATATTTATTTAATCCTTAGCTGTATATATCTGTAATTTTGTGTGTAGATAGGTCATTTTTTGTTCTCTATTTCTCTTAAATTTCGTGGCTAAACACTTATTATTTAAAAAGTTACAGCGTCTTAAACAAAGGTTGTCATGACCAAAAGCGCTCTTTGGGCTAAAATGCCAAACTTTCAAACATCGCATCTCTGTTGTTTCTTAAGTAAATCAAACCATATTTTTTAGACATTGTAGTTCATTACTTACTTTAACTGTGCATTAAGTTTCATTGCTTAACCCTCTGGAATTACAAAGTTATAACCGTTTTCTCGAGTGTACCTCTGTTTCAGAAATTTTTGGGCAACACAGCCTTAGGCTACTTTTTAAACATGATTTAACACTCTCAAATGAAACCAGGAATTAAATCATTACATCAGCAGGTAGCTTTTTGATGCGTTATATCCTGATGTAAGTTTCGTGCCTTTACCTTATAAGGTAAATTTTTGACAATTTTTTTTTCTATGTA